TTACGGCCGGCCCCCCCCAGGCTCTTGTCTGCCGGGCCCCTCTCCGCCCGTCCTGTGGCCCGCCCCTTCTTGTTTTTCCTCGTTTTCTTCATTTTTTGACGCCAGGAAAGCCGAAAGCCGAACCGAAACCGAACCGTAACCCGAACCCGAACCCAAACCCGAACCCTAACCGAACCCCGAACCGAACACAACCGAACCCGAACCCGAACCCGAACCCGAACCCGAACCCGAACCCGAAACCGAACCGAACCCGAACCCGAACCCGAACCCGAACCCGAACCCGAACCCGAACCCGAACCCGAACCCGAACCCGAACCCGAACCCGAACCCGAACCCGAACCCGAACCCGAACCCGAACCCGAACCCGAACCCGAACCCGAACCCGAACCCGAACCCGAACCCGAACCCGAACCCGAACCCGAACCCGAACCCGAACCCGAACCCGAACCCGAACCCGAACCCGAACCCGAACCCGAACCCGAACCCGAACCCGAACCCGAACCCGAACCCGAACCCGAACCCGAACCCGAACCCGAACCCGAACCCGAACCCGAACCCGAACCCGAACCCGAACCCGAACCCGAACGCGAACATAACACGAACCTCCGAATCCCGAACCGCGCGAACAGGACACGCGCAAGGCCCGAGGAACCCGAAACCCGAACACGAACCCGAAGCCGTAAACCACGTAACCCGAGTACCCGAGACCCGCACCCGATACCCCGAACCCGAGCCCGAACCCGAAGCGCCGAACCCCGAAACCGGAAAGCCCGAACCCGAAACCCCGAAACCCTGAACCGCAACCCGAACGCGGAACGGGAAGCCGGATACCGAACCCGAACTGCGGCGATAACCCGGAACAACGCGGGAACCCGAAACACAGAACCCGAACACCGAGCCCGAACCCGAGACCAGACACAGGAACCCGAACCCGAAACCCGAAACAGAAACCGAACCCGAACCCGAACCTCGAACCCGACCCGAACCCGAGAGCGGGGAACCCGAACCTCGAAGCCGAACGCCAACCCGAACCAACCGAACCCGGAACCCGAACACGCAACCCGAACCTCGGACCGAACCCTGAGCCCGAACACGAACCCGAACCCGAAGCCGAACCCGAAGCCGAACATCCGAACCCGGAACCGGAACCGGAGACCCCGAACCCGAACGGGAACCCGACCCGAACCCGAAACCGGTAGCCCATGAACACCGAACCGGAACCCGAAGCCCGAACCCTGAAACCCGAACCGAGAACCCGGATACCCGGAACGCCGCAACCCGAAGCCGAACCCGAACTCACGACACCAGGAACTCCTGAACCCGAACCCGGAACGGAGGGCACCCGAACCCGAAACCCGAACCACGTAACGCGAACGGGAACCCGAACCACGAGCCGGAACCCTGAACACCGAACGCGGAACCCGAAACCCGAACCACGAACCCAGAACCCGAAGCCATGGCCCAACACCCGAAACACCGAACCCGAACCGGGAACCATCGAAGCGAGCCCAAGGAACCCGAACCGAGACAGGATACCCGACAACCGAAGCCCGAACCACGAACCCCGTAACCCGAACACGGTCGAAACCAGAAGCCGAACCCGAACCCGAACCGACCCGGACCCGGAACCCGAGAGCGGAACCCGAACCCGAACCCGAAACCCGAACCCGAGCCCGAACCCGAAGCTCGAAACCCCGAGGCCCTGAACCCGAACCCAGGGAACTCCGAACCCCGGAACCCGAACCCGAACCCGAACCCGAACCCGAACCCGAACCCGAACCCGAACCCGAACCCGAACCCGAACCCGAACCCGAACCCGAACCCGAACCCGAACCCGAACCCGAACCCGAACCCGAACCCGAACCCGAACCCGAACCCGAACCCGAACCCGAACCCGAACCCGAACCCGAACCCGAACCCGAACCCGAACCCGAACCCGAACCCGAACCCGAACCCGAACCCGAACCCGAACCCGAACCCGAACCCGAACCCGAACCCGAACCCGAACCCGAACCCGAACCCGAACCCGAACCCGAACCCGAACCCGAACCCGAACCCGAACCCGAACCCGAACCCGAACCCGAACCCGAACCCGAACCCGAACCCGAACCCGAACCCGAACCCGAACCCGAACCCGAACCCGAACCCGAACCCGAACCCGAACCCGAACCCGAACCCGAACCCGAACCCGAACCCGAACCCGAACCCGAACCCGAACCCGAACCCGAACCCGAACCCGAACCCGAACCCGAACCCGAACCCGAACCCGAACCCGAACCCGAACCCGAACCCGAACCCGAACCCGAACCCGAACCCGAACCCGAACCCGAACCCGAACCCGAACCCGAACCCGAACCCGAACCCGAACCCGAACCCGAACCCGAACCCGAACCCGAACCCGAACCCGAACCCGAACCCGAACCCGAACCCGAACCCGAACCGAACCCGAACCCGAACCCGAACCCGAACCCGAACCCGAACCCGAACCCGAACCCGAACCCGAACCCGAACCCGAACCCGAACCCGAACCCGAACCCGAACCCGAACCCGAACCCGAACCCGAACCCGAACCCGAACCCGAACCCGAACCCGAACCCGAACCCGAACCCGAACCCGAACCCGAACCCGAACCCGAACCCGAACCCGAACCCGAACCCGAACCCGAACCCGAACCCGAACCCGAACCCGAACCCGAACCCGAACCCGAACCCGAACCCGAACCCGAACCCGAACCCGAACCCGAACCCGAACCCGAACCCGAACCCGAACCCGAACCCGAACCCGAACCCGAACCCGAACCCGAACCCGAACCCGAACCCGAACCCGAACCCGAACCCGAACCCGAACCCGAACCCGAACCCGAACCCGAACCCGAACCCGAACCCGAACCCGAACCCGAACCCGAACCCGAACCCGAACCCGAACCCGAACCCGAACCCGAACCCGAACCCGAACCCGAACCCGAACCCGAACCCGAACCCGAACCCGAACCCGAACCCGAACCCGAACCCGAACCCGAACCCGAACCCGAACCCGAACCCGAACCCGAACCCGAACCCGAACCCGAACCCGAACCCGAACCCGAACCCGAACCCGAACCCGAACCCGAACCCGAACCCGAACCCGAACCCGAACCCGAACCCGAACCCGAACCCGAACCCGAACCCGAACCCGAACCCGAACCCGAACCCGAACCCGAACCCGAACCCGAACCCGAACCCGAACCCGAACCCGAACCCGAACCCGAACCCGAACCCGAACCCGAACCCGAACCCGAACCCGAACCCGAACCCGAACCCGAACCCGAACCCGAACCCGAACCCGAACCCGAACCCGAACCCGAACCCGAACCCGAACCCGAACCCGAACCCGAACCCGAACCCGAACCCGAACCCGAACCCGAACCCGAACCCGAACCCGAACCCGAACCCGAACCCGAACCCGAACCCGAACCCGAACCCGAACCCGAACCCGAACCCGAACCCGAACCCGAACCCGAACCCGAACCCGAACCCGAACCCGAACCCGAACCCGAACCCGAACCCGAACCCGAACCCGAACCCGAACCCGAACCCGAACCCGAACCCGAACCCGAACCCGAACCCGAACCCGAACCCGAACCCGAACCCGAACCCGAACCCGAACCCGAACCCGAACCCGAACCCGAACCCGAACCCGAACCCGAACCCGAACCCGAACCCGAACCCGAACCCGAACCCGAACCCGAACCCGAACCCGAACCCGAACCCGAACCCGAACCCGAACCCGAACCCGAACCGAACCCGAACCCGAACCCGAACCCGAACCCGAACCCGAACCCGAACCCGAACCCGAACCCGAACCCGAACCCGAACCCGAACCCGAACCCGAACCCGAACCCGAACCCGAACCCGAACCCGAACCCGAACCCGAACCGAACCCGAACCCGAACCCGAACCCGAACCCGAACCCGAACCCGAACCCGAACCCGAACCCGAACCCGAACCCGAACCCGAACCCGAACCCGAACCCGAACCCGAACCCGAACCCGAACCCGAACCCGAACCCGAACCCGAACCCGAACCCGAACCCGAACCCGAACCCGAACCCGAACCCGAACCCGAACCCGAACCCGAACCCGAACCCGAACCCGAACCCGAACCCGAACCCGAACCGAACCCGAACCCGAACCCGAACCCGAACCCGAACCCGAACCCGAACCCGAACCCGAACCCGAACCCGAACCCGAACCCGAACCCGAACCCGAACCCGAACCCGAACCCGAACCCGAACCCGAACCCGAACCCGAACCCGAACCCGAACCCGAACCCGAACCCGAACCCGAACCCGAACCCGAACCCGAACCCGAACCCGAACCCGAACCCGAACCCGAACCCGAACCCGAACCCGAACCCGAACCCGAACCCGAACCCGAACCCGAACCCGAACCCGAACCCGAACCCGAACCCGAACCCGAACCCGAACCCGAACCCGAACCCGAACCCGAACCCGAACCCGAACCCGAACCCGAACCCGAACCCGAACCCGAACCCGAACCCGAACCCGAACCCGAACCCGAACCCGAACCCGAACCCGAACCCGAACCCGAACCCGAACCCGAACCCGAACCCGAACCGAACCCGAACCCGAACCCGAACCCGAACCCGAACCCGAACCCGAACCCGAACCCGAACCCGAACCCGAACCCGAACCCGAACCCGAACCCGAACCCGAACCCGAACCCGAACCCGAACCCGAACCCGAACCCGAACCCGAACCCCCCGAACCCGAACCCGAACCCGAACCCGAACCCGAACCCGAACCCGAACCCGAACCCGAACCCGAACCCGAACCCGAACCCGAACCCGAACCCGAACCCGAACCCGAACCCGAACCCGAACCCGAACCCGAACCCGAACCCGAACCCGAACCCGAACCCGAACCCGAACCCGAACCCGAACCCGAACCCGAACCCGAACCCGAACCCGAACCCGAACCCGAACCCGAACCCGAACCCGAACCCGAACCCGAACCCGAACCCGAACCCGAACCCGAACCCGAACCCGAACCCGAACCCGAACCCGAACCCGAACCCGAACCCGAACCCGAACCCGAACCCGAACCCGAACCCGAACCCGAACCCGAACCCGAACCCGAACCCGAACCCGAACCCGAACCCGAACCCGAACCCGAACCCGAACCCGAACCCGAACCCGAACCCGAACCCGAACCCGAACCCGAACCCGAACCCGAACCCGAACCCGAACCCGAACCCGAACCCGAACCCGAACCCTGAATACCCGAAACCGAACCCGAACTCCTAACCCATTAACCCGACCCGAACCCCGAACGACCCGAACCCGACAACTCCGGAACCCGAACCCGAACCCGAACCCGAACCCCGCCCCCCAGAACCCGAACCCGAACCCGCACCAGAACCCGATACCAGAACCCGAACCCCGAACCCGAACCCGAAAACCGCGAACCCGACCCGAACCGGACCCGCCCTAACCCGAACCCGAACCCGAACCCGAGCCCGAACCCGAACCCGAAACACGAACCCGAAGCGAAAACCCGAACTCCGGAACCCGAACCCGAACCCGAACCCGACCCCGAACCCGAACCCGGAACCCGAACCCGAACCCGAACCCGAACCCCGAACCCGAACCACAACCCGACCCAGAACCCGAAACCCGAACCCGAACCCGAAACCCGAACCCGAACCCGAACCCGAACCCGAACCCGAACCCGAACCCGAACCGAAACCCGAACCCGAACCCGAACCCGAACCCGAACCCGAACCCGAAACCCGAAACCCGAACCCGAACCCGAACCCGAACCCGAACCCGAACCCGAACCCGAACCCGAACCCGAACCCGAACCCGAACCCGAACCCGAACCCGAACCCGAACCCGAACCCGAACCCGAACCCGAACCCGAACCCGAACCCGAACCCGAACCCGAACCCGAACCCGAACCCGAACCCGAACCCGAACCCGAACCCGAACCCGAACCCGAACCCGAACCCGAACCCGAACCCGAACCCGAACCCGAACCCGAACCCGAACCCGAACCCGAACCCGAACCCGAACCCGAACCCGAACCCGAACCCGAACCCGAACCCGAACCCGAACCCGAACCCGAACCCGAACCCGAACCCGAACCCGAACCCGAACCCGAACCCGAACCCGAACCCGAACCCGAACCCGAACCCGAACCCGAACCCGAACCCGAACCCGAACCCGAACCCGAACCCGAACCCGAACCCGAACCCGAACCCGAACCCGAACCCGAACCCGAACCCGAACCCGAACCCGAACCCGAACCCGAACCCGAACCCGAACCCGAACCCGAACCCGAACCCGAACCCGAACCCGAACCCGAACCCGAACCCGAACCCGAACCCGAACCCGAACCCGAACCCGAACCCGAACCCGAACCCGAACCCGAACCCGAACCCGAACCCGAACCCGAACCCGAACCCGAACCCGAACCCGAACCCGAACCCGAACCCGAACCCGAACCCGAACCCGAACCCGAACCCGAACCCGAACCCGAACCCGAACCCGAACCCGAACCCGAACCCGAACCCGAACCCGAACCCGAACCCGAACCCGAACCCGAACCCGAACCCGAACCCGAACCCGAACCCGAACCCGAACCCGAACCCGAACCCGAACCCGAACCCGAACCCGAACCCGAACCCGAACCCGAACCCGAACCCGAACCCGAACCCGAACCCGAACCCGAACCCGAACCCGAACCCGAACCCGAACCCGAACCCGAACCCGAACCCGAACCCGAACCCGAACCCGAACCCGAACCCGAACCCGAACCCGAACCCGAACCCGAACCCGAACCCGAACCGAACCCGAACCCGAACCCGAACCCGAACCCGAACCCGAACCCGAACCCGAACCCGAACCCGAACCCGAACCCGAACCCGAACCCGAACCCGAACCCGAACCCGAACCCGAACCCGAACCCGAACCCGAACCCGAACCCGAACCCGAACCCGAACCCGAACCCGAACCCGAACCCGAACCCGAACCCGAACCCGAACCCGAACCCGAACCCGAACCCGAACCCGAACCCGAACCCGAACCCGAACCCGAACCCGAACCCGAACCCGAACCCGAACCCGAACCCGAACCCGAACCCGAACCCGAACCCGAACCCGAACCCGAACCCGAACCCGAACCCGAACCCGAACCCGAACCCGAACCCGAACCCGAACCCGAACCCGAACCCGAACCCGAACCCGAACCCGAACCCGAACCCGAACCCGAACCCGAACCCGAACCCGAACCCGAACCCGAACCCGAACCCGAACCCGAACCCGAACCCGAACCCGAACCCGAACCCGAACCCGAACCCGAACCCGAACCCGAACCCGAACCCGAACCCGAACCCGAACCCGAACCCGAACCCGAACCCGAACCCGAACCCGAACCCGAACCCGAACCCGAACCCGAACCCGAACCCGAACCCGAACCCGAACCCGAACCCGAACCCGAACCCGAACCCGAACCCGAACCCGAACCCGAACCCGAACCCGAACCCGAACCCGAACCCGAACCCGAACCCGAACCGAACCCGAACCCGAACCCGAACCCGAACCCGAACCCGAACCCGAACCCGAACCCGAACCCGAACCCGAACCCGAACCCGAACCCGAACCCGAACCCGAACCCGAACCCGAACCCGAACCCGAACCCGAACCCGAACCCGAACCCGAACCCGAACCCGAACCCGAACCCGAACCCGAACCCGAACCCGAACCCGAACCCGAACCCGAACCCGAACCCGAACCCGAACCCGAACCCGAACCCGAACCCGAACCCGAACCCGAACCCGAACCCGAACCCGAACCCGAACCCGAACCCGAACCCGAACCCGAACCCGAACCCGAACCCGAACCCGAACCCGAACCCGAACCCGAACCCGAACCCGAACCCGAACCCGAACCCGAACCCGAACCCGAACCCGAACCCGAACCCGAACCCGAACCCGAACCCGAACCCGAACCCGAACCCGAACCCGAACCCGAACCCGAACCCGAACCCGAACCCGAACCCGAACCCGAACCCGAACCCGAACCCGAACCCGAACCCGAACCCGAACCCGAACCCGAACCCGAACCCGAACCCGAACCCGAACCCGAACCCGAACCCGAACCCGAACCCGAACCCGAACCCGAACCCGAACCCGAACCCGAACCCGAACCCGAACCCGAACCCGAACCCGAACCCGAACCCGAACCCGAACCCGAACCCGAACCCGAACCCGAACCCGAACCCGAACCCGAACCCGAACCCGAACCCGAACCCGAACCCGAACCCGAACCCGAACCCGAACCCGAACCCGAACCCGAACCCGAACCCGAACCCGAACCCGAACCCGAACCCGAACCCGAACCCGAACCCGAACCCGAACCCGAACCCGAACCCGAACCCGAACCCGAACCCGAACCCGAACCCGAACCCGAACCCGAACCCGAACCCGAACCCGAACCCGAACCCGAACCCGAACCCGAACCCGAACCCGAACCCGAACCCGAACCCGAACCCGAACCCGAACCCGAACCCGAACCCGAACCCGAACCCGAACCCGAACCCGAACCCGAACCCGAACCCGAACCCGAACCCGAACCCGAACCCGAACCCGAACCCGAACCCGAACCCGAACCCGAACCCGAACCCGAACCCGAACCCGAACCCGAACCCGAACCCGAACCCGAACCCGAACCCGAACCCGAACCCGAACCCGAACCCGAACCCGAACCCGAACCCGAACCCGAACCCGAACCCGAACCCGAACCCGAACCCGAACCCGAACCCGAACCCGAACCCGAACCCGAACCCGAACCCGAACCCGAACCCGAACCCGAACCCGAACCCGAACCCGAACCCGAACCCGAACCCGAACCCGAACCCGAACCCGAACCCGAACCCGAACCCGAACCCGAACCCGAACCCGAACCCGAACCCGAACCCGAACCCGAACCCGAACCCGAACCCGAACCCGAACCCGAACCCGAACCCGAACCCGAACCCGAACCCGAACCCGAACCCGAACCCGAACCCGAACCCGAACCCGAACCCGAACCCGAACCCGAACCCGAACCCGAACCCGAACCCGAACCCGAACCCGAACCCGAACCCGAACCCGAACCCGAACCCGAACCCGAACCCGAACCCGAACCCGAACCCGAACCCGAACCCGAACCCGAACCCGAACCCGAACCCGAACCCGAACCCGAACCCGAACCCGAACCCGAACCCGAACCCGAACCCGAACCCGAACCCGAACCCGAACCCGAACCCGAACCCGAACCCGAACCCGAACCCGAACCCGAACCCGAACCCGAACCCGAACCCGAACCCGAACCCGAACCCGAACCCGAACCCGAACCCGAACCCGAACCCGAACCCGAACCCGAACCCGAACCCGAACCCGAACCCGAACCCGAACCCGAACCCGAACCCGAACCCGAACCCGAACCCGAACCCGAACCCGAACCCGAACCCGAACCCGAACCCGAACCCGAACCCGAACCCGAACCCGAACCCGAACCCGAACCCGAACCCGAACCCGAACCCGAACCCGAACCCGAACCCGAACCCGAACCCGAACCCGAACCCGAACCCGAACCCGAACCCGAACCCGAACCCGAACCCGAACCCGAACCCGAACCCGAACCCGAACCCGAACCCGAACCCGAACCCGAACCCGAACCCGAACCCGAACCCGAACCCGAACCCGAACCCGAACCCGAACCCGAACCCGAACCCGAACCCGAACCCGAACCCGAACCCGAACCCGAACCCGAACCCGAACCCGAACCCGAACCCGAACCCGAACCCGAACCCGAACCCGAACCCGAACCCGAACCCGAACCCGAACCCGAACCCGAACCCGAACCCGAACCCGAACCCGAACCCGAACCCGAACCCGAACCCGAACCCGAACCCGAACCCGAACCCGAACCCGAACCCGAACCCGAACCCGAACCCGAACCCGAACCCGAACCCGAACCCGAACCCGAACCCGAACCCGAACCCGAACCCGAACCCGAACCCGAACCCGAACCCGAACCCGAACCCGAACCCGAACCCGAACCCGAACCCGAACCCGAACCCGAACCCGAACCCGAACCCGAACCCGAACCCGAACCCGAACCCGAACCCGAACCCGAACCCGAACCCGAACCCGAACCCGAACCCGAACCCGAACCCGAACCCGAACCCGAACCCGAACCCGAACCCGAACCCGAACCCGAACCCGAACCCGAACCCTAACCCGAACCCTAACCCGAACCCGAACCCGAACCCGAACCCGAACCCGAACCCTAACCCTAACCCTAACCCTAACCCTAACCCTAACCCTAACCCTAACCCTAACCCTAACCCTAACCCTAACCCTAACCCTAACCCTAACCCTAACCCTAACCCTAACCCTAACCCTAACCCTAACCCTAACCCTAACCCTAACCCTAACCCGAACCCTAACCCTAACCCTAACCCTAACCCTAACCCTAACCCTAACCCTAACCCTAACCCTAACCCTAACCCTAACCCTAACCCTAACCCTAACCCTAACCCTAACCCTAACCCTAACCCTAACCCTAACCCTAACCCTAACCCGAACCCTAACCCTAACCCTAACCCTAACCCTAACCCTAACCCTAACCCTAACCCTAACCCTAACCCTAACCCTAACCCTAACCCTAACCCTAACCCTAACCCTAACCCTAACCCTAACCCTAACCCTAACCCTAACCCTAACCCTAACCCTAACCCTAACCCTAACCCTAACCCTAACCCGAACCCTAACCCTAACCCTAACCCTAACCCTAACCCGAACCCTAACCCTAACCCTAACCCTAACCCTAACCCTAACCCTAACCCTAACCCTAACCCTAACCCTAACCCTAACCCTAACCCTAACCCTAACCCTAACCCTAACCCTAACCCTAACCCTAACCCTAACCCTAACCCTAACCCTAACCCTAACCCTAACCCTAACCCTAACCCTAACCCTAACCCTAACCCTAACCCTAACCCTAACCCTAACCCTAACCCTAACCCTAACCCTAACCCTAACCCTAACCCTAACCCTAACCCTAACCCTAACCCTACCCCTAACCCTAACCCTAACCCTAACCCTAACCCTAACCCTAACCCTAACCCTAACCCTAACCCTAACCCTAACCCTAACCCGAACCCTAACCCTAACCCTAACCCTAACCCTAACCCTAACCCTAACCCTAACCCTAACCCTAACCCTAACCCTAACCCTAACCCTAACCCTAACCCTAACCCTAACCCTAACCCTAACCCTAACCCTAACCCTAACCCTAACCCTAACCCTAACCCTAACCCTAACCCTAACCCTAACCCTAACCCTAACCCTAACCCTAACCCTAACCCTAACCCTAACCCTAACCCTAACCCTAACCCTAACCCTAACCCTAACCCTAACCCTAACCCTAACCCTAACCCTAACCCTAACCCTAACCCTAACCCTAACCCTAACCCTAACCCTAACCCTAACCCTAACCCTAACCCTAACCCTAACCCTAACCCTAACCCTAACCCTAACCCTAACCCTAACCCTAACCCTAACCCTAACCCTAACCCTAACCCTAACCCTAACCCTAACCCTAACCCTAACCCTAACCCTAACCCTAACCCTAACCCTAACCCTAACCCTAACCCTAACCCTAACCCTAACCCTAACCCTAACCCTAACCCTAACCCTAACCCTAACCCTAACCCTAACCCTAACCCTAACCCTAACCCTAACCCTAACCCTAACCCTAACCCTAACCCTAACCCTAACCCTAACCCTAACCCTAACCCTAACCCTAACCCTAACCCTAACCCTAACCCTAACCCTAACCCTAACCCTAACCCTAACCCTAACCCTAACCCTAACCCTAACCCTAACCCTAACCCTAACCCTAACCCTAACCCTAACCCTAACCCTAACCCTAACCCTAACCCTAACCCTAACCCTAACCCTAACCCTAACCCTAACCCTAACCCTAACCCTAACCCTAACCCTAACCCTAACCCTAACCCTAACCCTAACCCTAACCCTAACCCTAACCCTAACCCTAACCCTAACCCTAACCCTAACCCTAACCCTAACCCTAACCCTAACCCTAACCCTAACCCTAACCCTAACCCTAACCCTAACCCTAACCCTAACCCTAACCCTAACCCTAACCCTAACCCTAACCCTAACCCTAACCCTAACCCTAACCCTAACCCTAACCCTAACCCTAACCCTAACCCTAACCCTAACCCTAACCCTAACCCTAACCCTAACCCTAACCCTAACCCTAACCCTAACCCTAACCCTAACCCTAACCCTAACCCTAACCCTAACCCTAACCCTAACCCTAACCCTAACCCTAACCCTAACCCTAACCCTAACCCTAACCCTAACCCTAACCCTAACCCTAACCCTAACCCTAACCCTAACCCTAACCCTAACCCTAACCCTAACCCTAACCCTAACCCTAACCCTAACCCTAACCCTAACCCTAACCCTAACCCTAACCCTAACCCTAACCCTAACCCTAACCCTAACCCTAACCCTAACCCTAACCCTAACCCTAACCCTAACCCTAACCCTAACCCTAACCCTAACCCTAACCCTAACCCTAACCCTAACCCTAACCCTAACCCTAACCCTAACCCTAACCCTAACCCTAACCCTAACCCTAACCCTAACCCTAACCCTAACCCTAACCCTAACCCTAACCCTAACCCTAACCCTAACCCTAACCCTAACCCTAACCCTAACCCTAACCCTAACCCTAACCCTAACCCTAACCCTAACCCTAACCCTAACCCTAACCCTAACCCTAACCCTAACCCTAACCCTAACCCTAACCCTAACCCTAACCCTAACCCTAACCCTAACCCTAACCCTAACCCTAACCCTAACCCTAACCCTAACCCTAACCCTAACCCTAACCCTAACCCTAACCCTAACCCTAACCCTAACCCTAACCCTAACCCTAACCCTAACCCTAACCCTAACCCTAACCCTAACCCTAACCCTAACCCTAACCCTAACCCTAACCCTAACCCTAACCCTAACCCTAACCCTAACCCTAACCCTAACCCTAACCCTAACCCTAACCCTAACCCTAACCCTAACCCTAACCCTAACCCTAACCCTAACCCTAACCCTAACCCTAACCCTAACCCTAACCCTAACCCTAACCCTAACCCTAACCCTAACCCTAACCCTAACCCTAACCCTAACCCTAACCCTAACCCTAACCCTAACCCTAACCCTAACCCTAACCCTAACCCTAACCCTAACCCTAACCCTAACCCTAACCCTAACCCTAACCCTAACCCTAACCCTAACCCTAACCCTAACCCTAACCCTAACCCTAACCCTAACCCTAACCCTAACCCTAACCCTAACCCTAACCCTAACCCTAACCCTAACCCTAACCCTAACCCTAACCCTAACCCTAACCCTAACCCTAACCCTAACCCTAACCCTAACCCTAACCCTAACCCTAACCCTAACCCTAACCCTAACCCTAACCCTAACCCTAACCCTAACCCTAACCCTAACCCTAACCCTAACCCTAACCCTAACCCTAACCCTAACCCTAACCCTAACCCTAACCCTAACCCTAACCCTAACCCTAACCCTAACCCTAACCCTAACCCTAACCCTAACCCTAACCCTAACCCTAACCCTAACCCTAACCCTAACCCTAACCCTAACCCTAACCCTAACCCTAACCCTAACCCTAACCCTAACCCTAACCCTAACCCTAACCCTAACCCTAACCCTAACCCTAACCCTAACCCTAACCCTAACCCTAACCCTAACCCTAACCCTAACCCTAACCCTAACCCTAACCCTAACCCTAACCCTAACCCTAACCCTAACCCTAACCCTAACCCTAACCCTAACCCTAACCCTAACCCTAACCCTAACCCTAACCCTAACCCTAACCCTAACCCTAACCCTAACCCTAACCCTAACCCTAACCCTAACCCTAACCCTAACCCTAACCCTAACCCTAACCCTAACCCTAACCCTAACCCTAACCCTAACCCTAACCCTAACCCTAACCCTAACCCTAACCCTAACCCTAACCCTAACCCTAACCCTAACCCTAACCCTAACCCTAACCCTAACCCTAACCCTAACCCTAACCCTAACCCTAACCCTAACCCTAACCCTAACCCTAACCCTAACCCTAACCCTAACCCTAACCCTAACCCTAACCCTAACCCTAACCCTAACCCTAACCCTAACCCTAACCCTAACCCTAACCCTAACCCTAACCCTAACCCTAACCCTAACCCTAACCCTAACCCTAACCCTAACCCTAACCCTAACCCTAACCCTAACCCTAACCCTAACCCTAACCCTAACCCTAACCCTAACCCTAACCCTAACCCTAACCCTAACCCTAACCCTAACCCTAACCCTAACCCTAACCCTAACCCTAACCCTAACCCTAACCCTAACCCTAACCCTAACCCTAACCCTAACCCTAACCCTAACCCTAACCCTAACCCTAACCCTAACCCTAACCCTAACCCTAACCCTAACCCTAACCCTAACCCTAACCCTAACCCTAACCCTAACCCTAACCCTAACCCTAACCCTAACCCTAACCCTAACCCTAACCCTAACCCTAACCCTAACCCTAACCCTAACCCTAACCCTAACCCTAACCCTAACCCTAACCCTAACCCTAACCCTAACCCTAACCCTAACCCTAACCCTAACCCTAACCCTAACCCTAACCCTAACCCTAACCCTAACCCTAACCCTAACCCTAACCCTAACCCTAACCCTAAAACCCTAACCCTAACCCTAACCCTAACCCTAACCCTAACCCTAACCCTAACCCTAAAACCCTAACCCTAAAACCCTAACCCTAACCCTAACCCTAACCCTAACCCTAACCCTAACCCTAAAACCCTAACCCTAACCCTAACCCTAACCCTAACCCTAACCCTAACCCTAACCCTAAAACCCTAAAACCCTAACCCTAACCCTAACCCTAAACCCTAACCCTAACCCTAAAACCCTAACCCTAACCCTAACCCTAACCCTAACCCTAACCCTAAACCCTAACCCTAACCCTAACCCTAACCCTAACCCTAACCCTAAACCCTAACCCTAACCCTAA